GTTGATTTTTCTTAGCTCTACAACTGTGGCTCCTGTTGTATAAAGTTTGTACACCCCTGGCCTGAGAGGAGCCCATCTACCTGCGCTTGGTGCAGCGCCTCCAGCCGCTGCTCATGGTCCTTCTTCACGTTCTCCAGCTTCTTCAGAGCCTGCTTCTCCTGCTGCAGGGCCTTCATGTCGATCTTCTGGCTCTCCATCTTGGAGAAAAACTCATCCACCGCCTGCAGACAAACCACTTCTGTCAGCGTTCTCTCTTCTCTGCAGGAAGTCATGGCTCAGCTGATACCGGCCTTGTCGAACGTCTCAAACTCCAGATGGGGGCTGTTGGTGTGCTGGGCGAAGAGGAACGGGTGGAACTCGTCGTACCTGAGAGAGGAAAACGTCACCGGAGCGAACTGAGGAAACCGACCAGGTGGGAGAAAACGTACGTCAGGAGCTCTTCACCGGGTTTCCCGGGAGCCAAGCTGGGTTTCTTCTCACTCTTCTGAATGATGTAACCCTAAATACAGCAGAAAAACTGCATGAATGGAAAATATGAAACTAAGAAGTTCAAGATCTTGGAAAACACAGAAACGTTTCACATTTAAGAGGCAACAACAATATTTATGGTATTTCTTTGGGTTTCATAAGACAGACCAGCACAAAGTAGGACATACATTTTATGTAACAAATCAAAATGTGAGCCACAATAAAATGCTTTAAATCAAAGGTCTTCAACATGGGGGTCGCAACCCATTACAGGGTCGCAGCAGTTCTGCAAGGCGGTCAGAAGATTTCTGATTAATTAGATATTTGTGTTTATTTTTTAAAAATTCTAAGTTATGTCTTTAAATATACACTAACTGGAAGCCGAACATGTATAAAACTGATAAAAGGAGAAACTAAACGCTCTTTGAGTGAAATTTCAGTCAGAAATGAACAAAAGCAAAAATCTGTTGATTAAGCTAAAAATAGACAGACTCACTTTTCCGCTGAATTTCTCGGTTTTGTCCATGTACGTCTCAGCCAGCTGCAGAGCCGCCAGGATTTTAGCAGCGACTGAGAAACAAATGAAATAAAACGCAGCTTGTCGACTGATTTGAAGGAAGGAAAATTTGATGGAAGGAAAAAAGCAGACGGAAAGTTCTTACTGGCCCAGCATACCTTCAGCAATGTCGGCCTGACTGTCGACTTTTAAGGATCCTGACAGGCCGGCTTCCATCAAGCTGTGTTCAATCAGAGTGGCTCCGTAGGCTGGAGACAATGTGAAAAATACATTTTGTTTACATAATTAACAGATTTACAGCTAAATAAAACCCTTTATCCTTCAGGATGGGAGAATAAAGTCATGAATTTAGATTAGCATTAAAGCTCAGCCTCAGTCAGAAGAATCTGTGAACATTAATAAAAACAATATGTTTCTCTATTTTAACATTTAGCAAATCAAAATCATTATAACTGACCTAAAACTGGAAGTTTAGTCTAAAGCTGCAGATGACAATTATTTTAGTCATTGATTATGTTTTTGATTAATTGGATTTTAAAATTGCCACATTCAGCAGATTTCAAGCCTTTTCTTGAACAATATCAGGAATAGATGCAAAATGTTTGTACTAACCTTTAATGTCTGATGTGAACTGAGATTTTTACATCATTACCTTCATGGTACTTGGAAAAAAGTCTCAAAACAGCATTATGGTTTATGGGACAAGTTATCATCCAGGAAAATGAGCTGCCATTTTTAACCATTTATCAGTAGAGCCTGATAAATCATTGGAAAATGAGAACTGTTTGTGTTTTTAATCCATAGTATGTAAATATCTGGATCCAACTGAAAGTTTCCATAAATAGTTATTGGATGAAGCTTAAGACGCGATGATTTGGACGGATACTCACGCAGATGAGGGTTCAGGACTTTCTTCACCTGATCTCCATGCTGAGCTTTGCTCAGGATTTCTGACAGCCTGTAGAAGATTCAGACGCGTTTCCATTGGATACGGCTCAGTGCATTGTGGGATGTTTGTGATTGGCGCTACCTGTCCAGAGTGATGAGCGGTTCTGGCGGCCGGGCGCTCTCCACCGGGTACCGCTCCCTCACCGCTATCTTAACGTCTTCGGCCTCGGCGTTGCGAAACCTCAGCAGGTTCAGGATGGTGAACTCGTGATCCGCCAGGACGATGTTCCCCTGATGGACAAACAGCCGGTCAGCGTGTTTGGTACCAGCACCACGTGTCGTGGTTCTGAGACCCTTCTGACCCTGTCGTAGAGTTCGACGATCAGGTGGTAGGCGGCTTCGTCGGAACCGAACTGGATGTCGACGATCCTGTCGATTCCCAGCTGCCTGACCTGAGTCAGCCGCCGGCCTTTCAGATGCTTCCGACACTGCAGAGCAGAAACAGCTGCTTCAGGCTCCACATTCAACTCAGCGAAGGAAAAAATGATCAATGTGGGAAATAATTATGGAAAATTAAAAACACAAACGCAGCAACATCTGATGTTACAAACTTCTGTCGGTTTCACTGAACTACATGAATTAATGATTAATAATGGAAAGGAAATAACTTAAATCCTAAAAATAGAAACAAAATTGGATTTTTGAAAAACTAGATACCTTTCCTACAGATATTTATCTAAAATTATAAATCTTAAAAAAAAAAAAGTGCAACATTTGTAGCTCTAAACTAAAGATATTTGGCTGGTTAATTTAATTCTTTAACTTTTGTGCAGTTTTTACTCAAAATACTTTGTTAAATATGGTTGAATTACAAACTTATAAACCATAAGTCATGTTTGAAATGTATAAATATGCTTTACTTTATGTTAATAAAAAACACTGAGGTTTGTGGTTGTACCATGAAAAACTTTAAGGGGTATTAATGACCATAAATGGGTTGTTGAGGTTCGTACTTTCATAGCGAAGCCTGAAGGCATCATGTTCTTGGGCCATTCGAAGTCCGTAGAGTGAAAGCGGGTCCCGGATTCGATCAGCAGAACGGCTTTGCTGTCGGGCCTGAAACAGCAGCACAGCATGGGGTCGACCTGCTCAACATGGAGGCTGAATGCCGGACATTAAACACAACTGCACCCTGTTACTGAGCATTATTATTATCATCACTGTAACTCAAATGGCTGGCTGTGGCAGAACATAGTGATAAAACTTTTAAAATATTAATAAAAAGTGCAATCAATGAGTACTACTTGAAATTAAATATTTGATATCTTTTCACTGTTTTCATTTCAGACAAAAAAAAATGCTTTTGCTTTGATCTGACTGATAAAATAACATTTAGACACAACTTGTATTGTAAAAGTTCTATTAATGTGGCCACATAAAAACTTAAGGCGGGCAGAATTTGGCCCCCAGGCCTTAACTTTGATACATGTGGCCTACATAATGTACTACAAAGAACTTTTTGAGCTTATTTAAAATCAATTAAAGAATTGAGATGTATGCTTTGATTAGTCAATTCTCTTGAGACAAGTATGATTATTCTTGCTCAAATATCTACCCTTATAAATAGCATAAGAAACAAAATGTTGCTTCTTAATTGTATTAATGTCGTCACGAATTAAAATATCAATTCCAGCAGAGAAGACGTGTCTGTAATATTAGAGCAAAGCGTCATCAAACTTGAGTTTCAAGCTGTTCTTACTTCTGCAGACGGATCAAATATGTCTTATTGTCGATGTCATAAACGTTATTCACTCTCATGCCGATGTAGCTGGAAAGGAAAGACGATAAATGAATGAATGAGTGATCAACATGTGTAAACAAGTCAACATTAGCCTTGCTAGCTGAAGGCTATGCTAGCATTAGCTCCGACTAACAACCGTCACCTACTTGGCATTGATCTCGGCGATAACTGCCCGGATGTCCACGGTGGTAAACCTGGTTTTCATGGCGAGTTAGATCCACGTTCAAGTTCTGTTTGTAAAGTAATGACTGAGAACGTTACATATTCGAAGCAGCAACAAGAAAACCGTGCAGGGAAGTTCTGCACATGCGCAAACACACAGCAGCGAGCGCCCGCACAGTGCGTCAACATCGACGCCATATTGTGAGGGGAAGAGTATAACAGAGAAGGTGTTATGCTGGTTCTATAATAATAATAATAATAATAATAATAATAATAAAGATGAAAGGGTGGCTGAAGCTACAGGTGTCTAACTCAAGGCTATAACTAGTTATGTGACTGAAGGCTCTTAAGCATCAAATTAATTAAACTTTATGATAACAGTTGGGTGCTTAAATATTATTTTATCAGTTAAATTAAATCTGTTTTTATTTAGATAGGACCAAATTACATCAATGTGAAAAGATAAAAGCTTTTTACATTATAAAAAATACCAATCGATCACAGAGAAACTGTAATGTTTTAACAATTTGTTAGCAAATCATTTTATTAATACCACGACCTTGAGGACATTCATGATCTTGATGCAACTTGAAATGATGATGAGTTTGACACCCTGTCCAAGATAATCTAAACATGGTTTATGATGCAGTGTGCTAAATTAAGGTCAGTTTAACTGCATTCATATTGATTTACAAAATGTTTCATTTAATCTCAGTTATTACAATATTCATCGTAAAATCGACATTTATACTAAATATGAATCAAAATATGTGTTCATTTTATTGTGAAAACCCAACTCTGGAGTTGCCAGATTGCCACTCACAATATGGCAAACGCGCTTACGGCTTCCAACCCTTAGAGACTTTTACGGAAGCCCATTGTGTGCAAAAATAAACGGTCCACGCCTTTTACTCGCATCAGTCAGCATCGGTGGATAGAAAGCTTTGTACCTGACATGAAGCGGCGTCTGGGAGCGACACGCTGCTGTGGTTCATCCAGCCGCTTCCTCCCTGTCAATCCGCGGCTCATGTTCTGCTCTTCACCTGCCTGTGTGCACCAATGATGCACTACTCCAACTGGCTCATTGACGTGAAGAACAGGGCAAGCCTGAGAAATGCGTGCAGGACAACCCCTGACCCGGACTGGGTTCACTGTGCGCGGAACCACGGCGTGGAACCGCAGCACAACCTGCAGCCCGGCGAGGAAACGTCAGAGCTGGTCACGAGCCACATCTGGAGAAAAGGTGAGGCTGCGAATAAAGGTTCGGTTCGGTCTGGTATGCGGGCCTGCAGTGATTAACGAAGCTCGTCCCGCAGTCGGGCGGTTCTTGTGCCTTTAGAGTGTGGTATTTGCCCCGCTGCGGCGGGAGACCTCCTGCCGGAGTTCGCGTCTCCTGCTCGGGTCAGCGCGGACGGCGAAGGCGTGCTCCGTTACCAAGGCAACGGTCAGCTAACAGGGCGCAGCGGCGGCTAAGCTAGCTCCAATCAGACCATTTCCGCGTCTTTCTTAAAGCTTTTATGACATGATCTGTCTGGATACGCTGGCTATTGACACCCGACTAACATGCGTACGGACAGAATCAAAGGAATGCACTGTAAGTACAAAAAAAAAAAAAAAAAAAAGGCTGACCGGTTTATTGTTCATAATTTAACTGCTTCAAGTTTCTCGGTTTTACTTCAAATGATGCACGTTTCTGTGTTGGAAGCAAATAAAGAGAAATAAATGGATAAAGCGACAAAAACTAGTTTTTATTTTGTTTTTATTCAAAATTGAATATGTATTTTGGCGAGTGGTCGCCCTCCTTTAGGTGCTTTAAAAATAATAATCACAAAATGAATCAAACTCAGTAAGAATAATTTAGATTTTGTTATAAATCTGCCTCAAAATGACCAAACGAGAAATTCATTCAGGACTAATCTGGCATAAGTTCAGAGATTTAAAGAATCATTTGATGTAAATGGGCAAATTTATTGTTTTACCTGGTAAAGATGTGTAAAAATCCTTCAAATAAAGTGAACGAATGACTCTTCAGTACCAAATTGTGACAAATCAAATAGCAAATCTTTTGCCACCTATACTGTCAAATACTTTGGAGAAGCAACAACAAATTAACCAGAGGCACAGTATCTTTCCCATTAAAATCTAAAAAACTACAAGAATCAAAAACCTAAACCATTTTTAATTCATTTGATGAACAGGACAAATTGAGGTTTTTCAGGATTTGACCTGCTGATCAGAACTGATCAGCTGAAAACCTGTCAATCGATTCAGGGATAACACATTGATTATGTCTGCTTCCTAAATCCTTTCAACTCACTTCCTGCTAAGGGACGTTGTTTCTTTCCACTGTTGCCACATGCTTTCTCGGGATGAGGGGGTTTTACCAAATAAAATGATCAACTGAACTTGTGTTGTTTCATAATAATGACAGAAGGTGACTGTATGTATTTAAACCTGTCTGTATGACGTGTTTGTACTGTTATGGATTAACATGATTATTTATTATTACCGTCACTGCAGGTTATAAAATAATCAAGAAAATTGGAGAAGGCACCTTTTCTGAGGTGCTGAAAACTCAGAACCTTAAAGATGGGAAGTTTTATGCGTGTAAAACCATGAAGCAGACAATTAACAGGTAAGTCTTCTTCACTTTAAATTTTGAATAATGTGGATTTTATTATTTTAACTTTGCACTTGTACATTAATTGAATGTTTTATATAATTTAATATAGTGCAGAATATTACTGTGAATATATTGTAAGTGTGGACATAAGCATAAATGTTTGCTAATTAGGTCGCATGTTTTTCATCTTTCTCATTAGCCTCCTGAATTTCGGGACGGCAGCCATCTTGAAAAATGGCTGCCGTTTCCAAGCCTTTAATCCAATTATTGCCATAAAATGTCGTGCATTTTCATGACGTTGATTAACTTTATGTCACATCTTATGTTTTCAACTGTGGTGAACTTATTCATAAAACTTTAATTCAGTCCAATTTTAAAAACTACATTTATTCCCAGTCATGCAATTGAAAGAGCAGAAATAAACATAACATAAAATAAGCAAATGGTGATATTAAAGTGTAATGAAAGTAACATGTAGCAAAGATGATAGTTTATGACAAACTTTGTGGCAGTCAGTTTAATGGTCACCGTTATCTTCCGCTCATTTTTTAAAATATGTTTAGCAATGGCTTCTGCAGCAGGTTAGTGTTAGCTTCCACTAATTTTTAATAATAATAATTGATCTATTTGGAATTGGCGTTTGCTAATTTTTAAATGTGTTTAGCAATACCTGTCACTTATTTTGTATGCATCTTTCTAGCAGTTAGCAGTTTAGCATTAGCGCAGCCAAGATTCTTGTTCAGTAAGCTAGTGGTTAGTGAAGCTAACTCCTTCAGGTTAATGAAGCTAACCCCTTTTGGTTAGTGAAGCTAAACTCTTTTGGTTAGTGAAGCTAAACCCTTTTGGTTAGTGAAGCTAAACTCTTTTGGTTAGTGAAGCTAAACCCTTTTGGTTAGTGAAGCTAAACCCTTTTGGTTAGTGAAGCTAACTCCTTCTGCTTTGCTGTGTAAACACATATTTTCCATTACAACAATGGTGGCCATTTACTTATATGGGATTTGGTTAAAATATGGAGGCTGTGTTTTTACACCAAACAAATTCATCTAATTGGTCATTTTAGTGAAAAAGAAAGATTTTTAAAATATGTATTGTTTTGATGGCAACAATTATGATTTGACACCAAAAATATTACGCTATGATAAATATCGTCAAATTTAGTGCAAGAATACATTTTCCTAGACGACCATCTTGGAAAATGGACGCCATCTTGAATTTTTTAATGTTTTTTTTTTTAAAACAAGCAAGCAAAATATTTGTGCTAATATATGTTTTTGGATCCTCATATAAAATGATATGTTAAATATAATCGAAATATTCAGTTATCTGCTCCACTAATATGAGCTTCGTTTGATTTGAAGTCTGGAAAAGGCCAACAATCTCCGGGAAGTCCAGGCAATGAAGCGGCTCAGTCCTCACGCCAACATCATCCAGCTGCATGAGCTCATATAGTGAGTCGACAATCTCACAGCCACACATTCACCTGCCATGTGGCTCCTGGTAATTTAACCCAATGTTTCAGTGACAAAGGAACAGGAACCGTCTCTCTGATATGCGAACTGATGGAGATGAACATCTATGAGCTCATTCAAGGTAAGGCGGCTCAGGAAGACGTTTCTGTCCTCCGATGAGGATGTTTGTGTTCAGAGGAGGTTTGTGGCTCTGCAGGAAGGAGGACGCCTCTGCCTGACCAGACAGTGAAGAGCTACATGTACCAGCTGTGCAGGTCCCTGGACCACATGCACAGGTGAGCCACAAAACACACATCTGATTAGATCAAACATAATCTCAATTTACACCAGAGATTTTGTTTTTATTTTGTAACAGGTGTGGGATCTTTCATCGAGACGTAAAACCTGAAAATATTCTCATCAAGGTAAAATCACTGCAGAGTTTACAGTTCAGACACCAACAGCTGATAGAGAAAAACTATTTAAAACTATTTAACTGTCATGAAACGCAAACAAAACTGCTGCAACATCCAACCAACCATCCAACCAACCATCCATCCATCCATCCATCTATCCATCCAACCGTCCAACCATCCATCCATCCATCCATCCAACCATCCATCCATCCATCCATCCAACCGTCCATCCAACCATCCAACCATCCATCCAACCATCCATCCATCCATCCATCCATCCATCCATCCAACCGTCCATCCAACCATCCAACCAACCAACCATCCATCCATCCATCATCCATCCATCCAACCATCCATCCATCTATCCAACCATCCATCCAACCATCCATCCATCCATCCAACCGTTCATCCATCCAACCATCCATCCATCCATCCATCCATCCATCCATCCATCCAACCGTCCATCCAACCATCCATCCATCCATCCATCCATCATCCATCATCCATCCATCCATCCATCCATCCATCCATCCCATCCATCCATCCATCCATCCATCCATCCATCCAACCATCCATCCATCCATCCAACCGTCCATCCATCCATCCATCCATCCATCCATCCATCCATCCATCCATCCATCCATCCATCCATCCATCCATCCATCCATCCATCCATCCATCCATCATCCATCCATCCAACCATCCATCCATCCATCCATCCCATCCATCCAACCAACCCAAGAATGTTGGGGCCATTTAACTCATTAAATGGCCCCAACATTTCAACACAAGTGTGTCAAATATCATGAAACATGTTGTGACTGATTTCCTTCTGAGTTGCAGCAAAACGTTTTGAAGCTGGGCGACTTCGGCTCGTGTCGCAGTGTGTACTCCAAGCCGCCGCACACCGAGTACATCTCCACGCGTTGGTACCGGGCGCCGGAGTGCCTGCTGACCGACGGCTACTACACCCAGAAGATGGACGTGTGGAGCGCCGGCTGCGTCTTCTTTGAGATCCTGAGGTGAGGAGACGTGTCCGCCTGTCCCTCCCGGTGTGTCCCTCCCGGCAGGACGGGCGTGAACCAGTGTGTGTGTTCCAGCCTGAACCCTCTCTTCCCTGGATCTAACGAGTTGGACCAGGTGGCCAAGATCCACAACGTGTTGGGGACGCCGGACCAAACTCTGCTGCAGAAGTTCAAACAGTGAGTCCAAAGACTGTGCAAAAGTTTTCACAATGTTTTGATTTTTTACGCTTTTTTTCACATTCTAAACAATAAAACTGTGTCCAGTTTTACTGCAGATTCCCAGTAAACTTTGTAATGCATGAAACATTCCTTATTTCTGTGGCGGGGACTAAAACGCTAGAATGCTAATCCTACAGTGCTAGTCAGAGACATTAGTTCTGCTAATGCTAACATGCTAATTCCAGTCATGTTCACACACACCATGTGTCAGCAGCATGTTACATACTCTTTGTGTACTTGATGTGTTTGTTGTATTCTTGCCACATGCTCAATAAAGTTTCTCTAAAAACAAAAAGGAAACATAAGAAGAAGAAATGAAACTGAAAAAGATCATCTAACTTGAAGAATTATAATACAGAAGTTGAACTTTATTCAGCTGACAGTTTTGAACACAGCAAAGGAAATTTTATTCTGTGCACAAGTATAAATAGAAAAGTGATGCAATAATGTTGCAGTTCTTTTGCATACATACTGTTCAGTGTTATTAACAGAAACTTGAATTTATTTCTATCTGTAATATATTATTTTTATTTGTTACCAGTTGGATTTATGTTGATATGCATTTAAATTCATAAATTTGCCTAAAACATCTATAGAGAAATGTCTAATGAATCAGAAATGTTGCGACGTTGTGATGTGCAGCCCTGTTCCTGGCGCTCTGCTTCGTCTCCATGATGCTCAGAATTCTCTGGTTTTGGTTACGATCAGTCAAAACGTGAAAAAGGCAGCGTGTATAGACTTAGAGTCAGTAGATCTAACTCATTTTTTCCTGCTGTCAGGTCGAGAGCGATGCAATTCAACTTCCCTCCGAAGAAAGGAACGGGCATCTCGCGGCTGCTGCCCAGCTGCCCGGCGCCGGCCATCTCTCTGCTGTATCAGATGTTGGCCTACGACCCGGACGAGCGCATCTCTGCAGACACCGCCCTGAAGCACACCTACTTCAGGGAAATCAGGTGCAAATCTAACCCTTACTTTACATATCTATTCATCTATTGATTATTTTGACTAGTAAATTGCTAAATTTCTTTGCTAAAATTACTAAAAAGAAATTGGCACATTCTGCAGAGGCCCAGCCTGTTACTTAGCAACCCAAGCAGAGCTTCATCACATTTGGTCACCTGATTTACCACTCTGTGCTGTACAATGGCTGCTGGAAGAGTTTGGTGTTTTGTTGTTGACTTACCATCCAGAAAACATTTGCTGCATTGTTGCTGGTTGTGCAGGAGGCTTTGCTAATGCTTTTCAAAGATGGGTGGCTGTATATTTGAGCATCTGTTCCAGCCATTTTCAGGTGTGTAAACGTTGAGTAGGGGGGTGTGACCATCAGCAGCTTATTTGGATTTAAAGTGACAAGACGCCCAAAAACAGCTAAAAATAGGCAGAACTGAGCAGATGAAATCTCAATATCTACAAACAGTTTGTGCTGTTTGGTAGCTCATAGACCTAACCTGTTCTTCTCTTTAAGAAGAAAACTGTTGGTTTTGTGTCTCAGGATGGGAGAGAAGAAATCAGACACGCTTCAGAGGAGTTCTGAGAACATAGACGGGAAAGGAAACACCGTGAAGTCGGCGCACACCTGGCGACCGACCAAACTGGGCAAACAGCTGAGAGGAAGACACCCCAGACAGACGCCGCTAGTAAACGTAAGCCTTTAACAATCCGGCAGGTCAGCCTGAGAAACGCATGAATCAGTGAAAAGTTACGTCTGTTCTCAGCACAACCCGAAGCGAGCGGCTGACCCCCACAGCCGGAGGAACGCCACCCACCTGACGCAGCTGCCCAGAATCAACATGGCCGCTCATCAGTTTCCGTTCCCTTTCTCTGCTATTCCCGCTTTTACCCTCAACCATAAGCCGACACTGCCGCCCATCTCGCCAAAGAAGTGCCAGACACAGGTGCTCCAGGCTCCAGCCACACAGACACGATGTTAGGTGAATCCGTAAAGGTTCTGGATGAGCGTCTGCACGGATTGAGACCAGAAACAATCACTTTTAAAACCAAATACATTTCAGAACGCTGGTCTCATGTTTCCATGTGGCCATGAGAGCCTGTCTTTTTAAAGCGATAACTCCACAAATTAATATTTCTTTATTTATTTCATCTCATGTTTGTGTTGCCAAGTCAATTGCATGATGGTTACTTGGGCCATTGTAAGGAGAAAAAAGAAACTAAACCTTCTGAGTTTGAAAAGTCAAACATTTGGTCAAAGGAAACTCAAACATTTTTAAATCTCAGAAATTTTCTAGAATAAACTTGAGAATTTCTGAGTTTTAAAAGTTGAAAATGTTTTGAAAGTCAAAAAAATCCTTGTTTTTTCTAGAACATTTCTCAGATAAAGATCAAAATTTTGGCAGAAAATGATACTTTTTTCTCTCTACAATGGCGATAACACAGCGTTGCACGTTGGTCAGGAAGTTGCATCAGGATTTCTGTTTTCCACCACATAGTGACATTTTCTTCACCAATTTCAACAGAACTCCAGGCACTTAAAAACGGTTAATCGTACAGAAAGCTGCCCAATCTGGCAACGCTGCCCAATCTGGCAACGCTGCCCAATCTGGCAACGCTGCCATTGTGCGTTTTTTGGTGTTGTCCTCTGGCAGAGTTACAGCGCCACCGATTGACCCGGCATACTCACTGCACCACTTTCATTGCCGCTGCATTATGTGGTTATCATGTTTTCATCGTCTCTGTGTGTTCAGGCCCCAGTTGAGTCTTTTCATATCAGGAAAGCTGCTGCAGCTGCAAGCAGGAAAACATCCTGTCGCCTTCTTCTCTCCACAGCCCGAGGATGAGATGCCTTCCATCACCGTGACGACCTTCTGCATGCCACCTGTGGAGCGCAAAGAAGGAGGGACCTGAGAGCCAAAGTCCATCCAACTTTCAGATTGAAATCCGCCTGCTTGAACCGGACCGACCTGCAAAACGGAACCAAAACCCAGAGGAGCCTGCTGCACAACAAGCTGCCGTTTTCTCAGTTACTGCTGGGACAGACGGCCAAATAAATTATTCAGTTATTACAGTACTGTGGAAAATATTTCCCTCCCCTGTGGATTTCTTTTGTTTTTGCTTCTTTGTTATAACAAGAAACCAGAGTCGAGTTTAATGGTCATTTCATCCATGAAAGGACAAACATTCCTGGTTCTGTGTGAAAAAGTGATCAACCTCTTAAAACTAGCAGCTACTAAAAGTTAGTATTTTACATGACAATCTTTGCTCATTGTTTTAAATTTGACACATCAGAGTGCAGACTTTGACTAGGCCACTCCAGTAGAATCATGGAATGTGGTTGATCTCAGCTGATTCACGGTTTGTTACTTTCACATTAAGCCCAGTTGGTTTGGAGACTTTCCCCCTTTGATGGATAAAATAATCATTTTCAAACTTTCCTGTTGATCCTCGTCTGACTTTACACTTTTACAATCATAAAATACTGAATTTATACTTAATTGTTCTAACATTTAAATAAATCACATGCTAATAATGAATAAAGTAATTTAATGGTCAAGGAGTGAAAGCTAGAGAGACGCTGATTGGTCTGCTGTGGAGCTCAACCAATCAGAGCTCAGTATTAGATGACGTATGTAGACGCCAGGCTTCGTTCACAAAGCAGCAGATTGCGAATCAAATCCTCTTGTGACGAAAAACCGGTGAACGGTTAGAGAATCCATCACTTCCGTAAACAATGCGCTGTCGTGTGACGTCATTGTTCCTTTGCGCATGCGGGTCCGTTCACTCAGAAGTCTGCGCATTTAATTTGTAACTTGGAAAAAGAAATTGGGAATTTATCAGCATAAATTGTGTTATTAACTCATGAACTTTATGTTTTTTTATCATTTTAAACAGATCTGAGTTTGTAATTGTTGTGGTACGTTTGGCCCCTGCACACGTCACCATGTAACCCCCTGCATGTCTTATGAAACCTGGAATCCTTCATGTTTTCAGGTGACACATGTTTACATCTCAGTAATATTTATTTGATTTTTTTACCCAGTGAACATTCCTGTGGGAAGTCGTGTCAGGCGCCTGCAGGTTTTATTCATGGCTGGTTTGCAGCAAAAACTCCAAACTTTGGATAATAAATGTGATTCCTGTGTGGCCCGATGAGCAAAGCGGTGATACGGATCATTTTTGTACACAAATTGTTTTAGTAAAATTACTTGCAGCGCCTTCAGTATGTATTCACACCCTTAAGTTTTTCCTCATTTGTCATGTTACATCAAACTTCCAGGAATTTTCCTGGGTTTTTGATGGAAAAAGTGGGAAGAATACGAAAACATGGTAGTGGCAGCAGGATGCTGAGGGCATGTGCAGACAGGAAAACAAAGCAGTGGATGGGAAAATGGGCGGAGCTAAATCCAGGATAATCCTGGAGGAAAACTATTGGAGACAGATGTGCATGCCGCACTTTTCAGATTTTATGGATTATTTACACAACGATTAAATGACACAATATCAATTAGGGACTTCAGTTAATATTTTTATTTTGCTTTGGGGTCAATAAAGTATTTTGAATTGAACTTGTTAGTAAAAACATAAAACTCTTTCCTTTCCCAGTTTTTGGCAGCAGAAGGTGGAAAAGTTTGACGGGTTTGGAAACGTTTGCAATGCGAGGATTATTCTGACATTAAGGATTATTCTGACATTAAGGATTATTCTGACATTAAGGATTATTCTGACATTAATCTGCTGAGCCTCAAAAAGGCAAACAGTGAATCTGATGAGACATGAACCGAATAAAACTGATTTTATCAGCAATCAGAGTGAAAAGTTTCATTTTAATGTGAAAATAAAGACAATTCAAGTAAAACATGAAATAAAGCTGCTGCTGTTGTGTAAAATATATTTATATATAAAAACACATTGTTGGTGGTTAAACTTGAAATATTTTAACACAAAATGATGTCAGTGCAGAGAAATAAACAACCACCAGAACACAAAGTATTCAAGATTATTTTAATATTAATATGTATACTTTAGGCTTTAGAAATATAACTATCAATGACAAAACTTCCACTGTAGTAATGGTAGTTTGCTTAGGCCCCCATCAAATCAGTTAATTACAATATACACATTATGATACAGAGCAGATTTGAATCTGAAATAATATTAAAATAAATGCTCAATAGATAAAGGTTTTAATATTTTTTAGCATTTTCTTCACCTACTGTGTTAGCCATTTGTAAATTCTTAGCACACCCAACAATGTAAAGCCATTATTTTCTTCTAATAAACTAATTTAAGTGCAAACCATTTTTCCTTTAAAAAGACTGATTGCAGCGTTCCGCCTTCAGCCGAGTGCAACAAGGCAGCCAACCCTCCGCTGTCTCCATCAGAGTAGAAAAAACTAAAGAAAATCAGTGCAAAGTCATTAATGGGGAGATTTCTAGTCACAGGAGACAGAAGAGGTGGGAGGATAAAGATGGACGTCATGTTTTTTAATAAAGTTGTTCCAAAACGTGTATTTCAGTCGGTGGTTCTGAAGGAAATAAACCGTCTGGGATAACAGTCTGAGATCTGACAAGTATATGAATAAAAAAAAGAATCTAAAATGTGTTAAAAGTGAGCAGAAAAGAGGAGCGGTGCGACGGCGAAACGGTCGCGGCGCTCCTCTAACTCCAGTGACAAACAGCAGAACCGGGAATAAAAGAAAACAGGAAAACTTGCAATGCTTGCAGGTGAAGAGCAGCATCAGACTCTGGGTTGCAGCAGAAATATTCTGGCTATACTACTGTTCCACTGGGAGAGCTGGCTTGGTTTTGGGATGACAATAAACCCTGAAAAAAGGAAAACAAGGAGATTTGCATTGGGAAAGTCAGAAATCAAGCAACAAAACAGCCCAACTTTCCATCAAACGTCTGGGAATGTCGGGAGTTTTTCATCACCAAGGCACTTCCTGACTCCAGTTCACTCCCTCAACGCTTCATAGGTCTGGATATTAATCCAAAAATATGTTAACTGCACCAGTAATCAGAGTTATCGCAGTTCAGTCTGTCATTTCAGGGGTTTAACTCGTCGTTTCTGCTGAAATATGAGCATCATGGGAATTTTCTAAAAACATATCACTTGACGTCAGTCGGAACGGGAAACTTTCTGAAAGTTACTTCACTCCAGAATCAAAATAAACATTTTTATTGATGGCATTTCAGCTGTTTTGAAGCAAACCAATCAGGTCAGACGTGCAGAATTTATTTCTCTCCTTAGAACAGAGATGAAATATTCTTTATGCAGGTCAGGATATTAGTTTAGGTTTTCTCTGCTGGCAGTTAATAAATACAAACAGTGAGATTTCTGATCAATACTGGCCTCAGTTTGTCAACCTGCTCAAACTTTCTGAGTTTTTATCCAAAACTCAACGACGTGTTGAAAGCAGAGGAATTTTACTTGCCTTCCTGTGGATCCCTGAACATTTCTAAATGTTATTTTGGTAAAACTTTGGTTGTTTTGCTAGAAAATCTGACTAGATTTTCAGTTGAATTTTGATTTTTTTTTCTCTAGTTTATTTAAATCTGACTCAATTTTCATGTCACCTCATTAACTACACACCAATCTGCACACACTGGACAGAAATAATTAACACATTTCCTGAAATTAAAACTAATCTGTAAATTTGAAGTGAAAACTGAAGTTAATTTTGGCATTTGAATATTTTAAAACATGTATATGCATCACATTTTTGTCTTTAGAAGAGCAGCAGCCTGATCACTTTTGACTCTTGCTGTGTAATATTGTAATATTTCTATACCAATCTTTAAAAATACATTTATTTTTGTGTCCAAACTGACGGGGAGTAAAAACAAAAAGATGAAAATGTGAAGAAAAATGTTTATCTTCTGTTATCTTCAGCAGAATCATAAAAGATGTAAAGTTTTGGAGTTGATTCAAATTGAAAACTGAAAAAAAAAAAAATTAAAATAAAGCAGCCACGTTCCGAACATGAGGATTTTTAGGCGACTCGACAAATTTCATCCCGTTTACTGATTCTAGTGACGTTTTCACTGAAACGTTTTAAACACTTCCTATGAAAGCTGTTGCACATTTAAGGTTCAGCAGACAACCTGGCTGCCTGCCAAATAAAAACGTCGCTATAAAAACCAGAGAATCCAACACAAGCAGTTTGAGAAGGACAGACAGGAAGTCAGCACTCCAACCTCCCCACACTTCCTGTTAGAAAGAACTTACCACTTTGCCTGGCCTCGCCCATGTGCAAATAAATCCCTCCTGACAAGCAGTCACTAAACAGTCCTCTAAAAATATGAGTACAGTCAGCCTCTCGTGTGCTATTTTCTTACAGATGAGCGGCTCGAGGAGCGGCACGTCCTCCATGCGCGGGCACAGCAGCGTGCCCAGCGTCTTGGCCGGGTCCGTTTTGCTCTTGCTCAGCAGGTTGAGCTTGTCGCTGCTCTTGCTGCTGATGTGACCCATGCTGTGGTTGCGTTTGTGGTCCTTGTCGTGGTGCCGCTCCTTGCGGTCGTGCAGGGAGAGCGTGGCGAACTTGCTGACACCGGTGGCGATGGCGCTGTCCATGATGCCGCCGCCGGTGCCAGAGGTCTTGGCGGTGCTGTTGGCGGTGCCGGCCGAGTGCGGCAGGCTGTTGGAGCGCGGCAGCGTGGTGACGCCCGGCGTGTTGGCGCTGCCGTTGTTTCCGTTCGTAGTGTTGCTGGAGGAGATGATGGCGGCGCCGGCGGGCGGCCCCGTGGCGTTCATCACGTTGGTGTGCGTCCGAGTCCTAGACAAGGGCAGGTGGGGGAACAGGATGTCCTCGGTGAGGTCCCACAGGCACAGCTGCGTGTCCTGGCCCACCGAGCCGAAGCGGTACGTCACGCTGACGGGCCGGCTGTCCGTGGAGTTGCGTTTGGAGAGGCGGGACTGCGTGCTGTTAGCGCGGTCCCGCCCGAACTGGACCACCTGGTCCTGGAAGTCCTCGTCGCTGCCGCTGAACTCCATGGGGTCGCTCTCCTCCACGCTGGTGGTGTAGTGGTCGAACGCCACCACGCTCACCCACGACTTGTGGCCGTGTCCGCGGGCGATGACGCGGCAGTCCAGGAAGGACCAGACGGTGACCAGGTCGTCCTCGCCGCCCGCCACGATGTACTTCCCATCCGGACTCCAGCACACGCACAGCAGGCCGCCGAAGTAGCTCTTCATGGTGCCGTGCAGCTCCACCGCGTCGAAGTTGAAGACGCGCAGGAAGCCGTCCTGGCTCACGCAGGCCAGGAACTTCCCGTCAGGCGAGAAGGCGAACTCGTTGAGCGCGCCGTCGCCGACGCTCCACTTCAGCAGCGGGTTGCGCGTGGATTTGCTCTTGCAGGTGTGGACGGAGTAGCTGTCGCCCTGCTTCAGCAGCTGGTAGTGCGGCGCCGCCGTGCCGCAGGTGTGCTCCACGTTGTACAGGTACATGCTGCCGCTGGCGTGCGACACCAGGAACAGGCTCTCTGAGCCCGGAACCCACTTCACACATGTCACCCGGGATTTATCGATCAACCTCTGGTAGCGCAGAACCGAGGGAGGGAGAGGAAGATCGGGTCAGAGAAACAGACTGAGCACCATCAGCATGCATGATGACTACAATAAACTTTAAATCACAGTGAACTTTGCAACTGGAAGACATTTCAAATATCCAAAATAACCAATACAGTTATTTTCTGTAAACAAAACTGTCCTTCAAAAAAAGATCCAGACTGAAGACTTTTATCATCCAACGAGAAAGAAAAGAGAAAAGCGATGAATCATAAAAATGGAAATTATTGAGCTTGTCATAAATTATTATACGATTAATTCAATATTTTTACAGATATTTTGTTTACATTAAGCAAATTGTCTTTTTTAGACTCCATTTAACGACAAACTGATGACTGAATCAGTTGACGATTGTTTCAGTAATCCATCTAGCAGAGGAAAGAGCAGTGTGAGCTAAACGTTGTTGTGTTTGTCCAACCAGCAGCAGCAGAGGGAACCATCTGCTCGGCCGCCTACCTCCTCGTTGAACAGTTTGCTGGTCTCCTTCTTGATGGGGTCAATGAGCTGCACCTGCCCAGCAGAGAAGCCCACCAGCAGGGAGACGCTCTCTGCCGTGGCAGTGAGGTGGTTGAAGTCATGGCACG